TAACGATACCAAACATCTTTTGGATTTAAGGAAAACACTATTGGTCGGTGTATATACCAAAAGATCAGTGGGAGCAAGTTTGTATTTTTAGTCTTATATGTTGACAATATTTTGCTCGCTAAGAATGATTTGGGCATATTATATGAAACCAAAAATTTTCTCTCAAAGAATTTTGAAATGAAAGACATGGGAGAGGCATTCTATGTGATAATTAGAATTGAAATATTCCAAGATAGATCACAAGGATTGTTGGGGTTGTCTCAAAAAGAATATATTTAGAGAATTTTAGAGAGGTTTCACATGGAATCATGTTCAGCAAGCATTGTCCCTATACAAAAAGGGAAAAAATTCAGTCTCATGCAATGCCCAAAGAACAATATAGAACGAAAGAAAATGGAATCAATTCTATATGCTTCGGTTGTTGGCAGTTTGATGTATGCACAAACTTGTACTAGACTAGACATCAGCTTTGCTGTCAGTATGTTAGGCAAATATCAAAGTAATCCAGGAATTGATCATTGGAAAGCTGCGAAGAAAGTTTTGAGATACATGCAAGGAACGAAGGATTATATGCTCACATATAGAAGATCTGATCATTTAGAAATAATCGGATATTCAGATTCAGATTTTGTTGGATGCCTTGACAGCAGAAAATCTACTTTTGGTTATTTGTTCCTATTAGCTAGAGGAGTAGTCTCATAGAAAAGTGCTAAGCAGACTGTCATTGCTTCATCAACTATGGAAGCAGAGTTTGTGGCATGTTTTGAGGCTACAATTCATTCATTATGACTGCGTAACTTTATTTCATGACTTGAGGTTGTCGACACCATTATCAAGCCGCTGAAAATTTACTGTGATAATTCTGCAGCAGTTTTCTTCTTCAAGAACGACAAATACTCAAGAGGTGCTAAACATATGGAATTAAAGTATTTTGTCGTTAAGGAGGAGGTTCATAAACAACGAGTGTCTATTGAACATATTAGGACAGATCTCATGATTGTAGATCCCTTAACTAAAGGATTGCAACCAAAAGAACATGTAGATAGAATGAGTCTTGGTTATAATAATTGATGCATTGATACTCAGAGCTCAATAATTTGTGTTTCTGATATATACTTAGCCCAATAGTACTCATGTTACTTGACTAAGGTATAAGTCCAAGGTTCAAGTCATGGGGGAGGAGTTCGCAAAGTGAAAAAAAGACTACAAAGCGAAACAAAGCCGTGAGGGTCCGAAGAGGCATGCCCAGAAGGACCCATAGAGGACAATACCTTGGACGTGTCCAGCATGTGGGGAAAGCCCTTGACCCAAAGTGGCGAGATAGTGTATATATANTTATTTCATGACTTGAGGTTGTCGACACCATTATCAAGCCGCTGAAAATTTACTGTGATAATTCTGCAGCAGTTTTCTTCTTCAAGAACGACAAACACTCAAGGTGCTAAACATATGGAATTAAAGTATTTTGTCATTAAGGAGGAGGTTCAGAAACAACGAGTATCTATCGAACATATTAGGACATATCTCATGATTGCATATCCCTTAACTAAAGGATTGCAACCAAAAGAACATGTAGATAGAATGAGTCTTGGTTATAATAATTGATGCATTGACACTCAGAGCTCAATAATTTGTGTTTCTGATATATACCTAGCCCAATGGCACTCATGTTACTTGGCCAAGGTATAAGTCCAAGGTTCAAGTCATAGGGGAGGCGTTCGCAAAGTGAAAAAAAGACCACAAAGTGAAACAAAGCCATAAGGGTCCGAAGGAGGAGTGGCCAAAAGGACCCATAGCGGACAATACCTTGGACGTGTCTGACGCGTGGGGAAAAACCTTGAGCCAAAGTGACGAGATAGTGTATATATATATATTGATCTTGTATTGATGTATACATAATTGACAAAGAAAATAGGATAGTCTTTTAAGACATAATCGTGGACCAATATGTTTATATAACTTATAGACTGAGTATGATGAATGACTATTTGTAGTGGTGGAAGGAAATATGTTACATAAACAACATACAACCGCCATGCCTCACATTTAGTAGTTTGTTATGCTAAGGTGATTGTGATGGGAGTAAAGAAAGATTTCATTATTATTGCATGTTTGATGTTATATCATTAACCACTTATGTTGGTTTATCAGATGAGCCAAGTGGGAGACTGTTGGAAGTGACTCATCAATTGTCCACTAATTTGAATTTAATATATTGGTAGTTACTAGTTGTTTTAAATTTGTTTGTTACATGTGCAATAATTTTTTTATTAGTTACATGTGCAAATAAATTTGACTGTTACATGTGGTTATTGAATAATGGAGCTTAGCTATTGGATGGATACTTGATGGACGTATCAGATTAATTGTTATTCTCTATATATAAACTGGTCCTCCATCTACCCATAAGAGTTAACTTATTTTTCCCATCAATTTTAATGTTATATGTAAAAGGGTTAAAGATGAGAAATCATTTTTTAACTCAAAGTTTTATTATCACGGTAGGGGTGGGATAAATAACCCGAAAACCGAACCGAACCGGTAACCGAACAGAAAATTAGGTTTTTTTATAAACCGGTTCGGTTTGAAAAAAATTTCAAACCGGTTTTACCCTAAATATAAAAGCAAAAAAATTATTATATATAAAATAATAAATGTTTGAATTTAGGGACTTAAATGAAATATTGAAGAATTTTAAGGATTAAAGGATAATTTCAAAACCGGTTAACCGGTAACCAAACCAAATTTCGGTTCGGTTTACATTCGGTTTTTAACCGAAACCGGTCCAGTTTTTGGTTTGGATAAACCGGTTCGGTTAACCAGATTATCACACCCCTATATCACGGCTTCAAGATCAAGTATGTTTTCTCCCAATAATTGTTTAATTATTTTGTTTGTGAAAATCATGGAGTTCTAAGATCTATGTTTATTTGATTGTTTATGTTTACAATCTTTAAGAAATTACTTACAATGAATGCTACATGGATTATCTAAACCAACAACATTCTCTAAATTAAAGTTTTTATGTCGTAAATACATTGTGAATAAATATACACGTATCATATGATTATTAATAATTTAATACATCTATATCTTTATGTATCGTAGAATTTAATGTGTTAAGATAACATTAATTATAAAGATGCAATATCGTTTATCACATCATCCTACGATTAATATAATGTATCACATCATCGACAACTTTGTAAAAGCAACATTACTTGTAATAGAAAGAGAAAATTGAGATGTTAGTAGGGGTATAAATAGACTTTTTCTGTATTTTTAACTGTTTACCAACCGTCCATTAATATGATAAGGAGCTCATTCAGCCTCCAAACAATGTCCTAGGTTTGAGTCTTTGCTACTAGTCTTTAGTGTAGTGGTATATTTATGTCTCATGCTCCACGCACGAAGGTCAAGGGAGGACCTAGCCTCTTTGAGGGTAGGCCCGACTTCTGGGTTTTTTTTTTTTTTTTGGGTAAAAGTCGTTTTTTAGAATCTCTCCTTTAGGATTCTATATGTCTTTATTAATATGATCTTTTTGTCCTCCTCCTTTCTCCTAATTTAGTCTATATAATATATCACATAAATCATTATTAATTATAATTTTTATTCTATGACCTAACCTCATTGTCGTTTCAATTGTACTTACTTTTTTGTATTTTATCCATCTACCTAATTAATTACTTAACAAACATCAATGTCCTCTACTAATAAAAGATTTTATGTTGTAAATTACTTCTCTTTTTAATAGAAATAAAAATTAATAATTTATATAATTATAAACTAATAATCTACTTAATAATTAACATTATTTTTTCCTGTTTTAATAAATTTTAAATGATTATGTTATACTCTTTTTACAAATCTATCCTCTAATTAATGATAGTGATGTGACATAATTAAAAAAAATAATCATATTATAATTCAATTTGAATCATTTATTGAATTTTAACTATGACAATCTAGTGTTAAGAGTAAGCAGAATTGTTTACTATTTAATTTTTTAAAGAACTTAATCATATAAAACATTATTATAAAAGTGCTATAACTCAACTCATTTTTCTATTTTGCCCTTGCTTCTTCCCTTCCAATTTCATTACAAATTTTCATAAGACATCAATTGGTAAGAGAAGAATTTGAATTGAAAGCAAATTAGGTCAAGATTTAGGATTTAGAGTTTAGGTTTATGGTTTTTTGCTCTCTTCACATTAAAGAGGTTTAGTGGTTTTTTAAAAGTTTTCACTCGTTGATTGGCAAACAATGATGGAACCGTAGGGTTTAGAGTTTAGGTTTATAGTTTTTTGCTCTCTTCACATTAAATAGGTTTGGTGGTTTTTTAAAAGTTTTCACTAGTTGATTGTCAAACAATGATGGAACCGCATATGCCCCCTAAGCAAAAATCCTAAGTTTGCCACCGGCAAAGGTACCCCTAGCTTCGGCTTGGCCCTAACATAGGTGCAGCGGGAGTACCTCTAAATGTTTGTGGGGTAAGATGGCGCAATGTTCCGTTTTGGGTATGGGATCAACCCCTTTTCATACCCATTTTATTCACCAAATAAAACTAATTAATGGGATATCATAGTAAGGGCGCCAGTTTATGACTAATTTCTTTATGCGTTAGGGGGAGATTGATTAATAACCCCAAACTTACCATCTAATTGACAATTTCCGAAACTTCAAGCGTAGTTAATGAGTTTTCCCAGGGAGAGATCATCATTAGAAAATGAACTCTATCCTTATATATATAATATAATATATACATACCCTTTAGTATATTAAAATACAATTTTAAGACCAAACAAATATACAATTCCTAATGCAAGGTCATAAGAAAAGTGAAAAAAAAAAAGATCAAACACTGTTACTAGTGGAAGATTTCAAGACTCAAAGATCTTGCTTTACTTTTAGATCCCACTAAATCTTCTCAAATAGACATGAACTTTGTTTTCATTAAGTAAAATATATATATATATATATATAAAGCCATTGACCCAAAAACCTAAAACAAAAACAAAAAAATTCAGAAAACATACATTTTCATGTCTTCACCAGGCAATATGTTCAAGAATTCCCAGAATCACATCACAAATCTCCTTCAAACCCCGCTCTCTCCGAGCAATCTCCGGCGGGTAAACCAGCCCCGGAAACCTCTTAAACGCATTGTGACACGCGTTCGGATAATCCGCCGCCGCGGTGACGTCTACTGCGACGTAATCATAATTCTCCGAGGCCAAGTATTGAGCCGAATCCTGCAAAGCATCGGCGGCAAACGAGTATTTGTCTGCGCATTCTTTGAGAACCCTCTTCAGGACGGTGTCGTTGGACGCGCTGCTGAGCGACTGCGACGACAAGTATGTGGACGTCGCGGTGGCGTTGGCGGTTCCGACACCTATCATGATGAGTGCCAGGCCTTTGGCGTCCACATTGGCGCTGGTTGAGTTGGATTTGAGAGAGGAGAGGCAAAGGTCGTAGTGCTTGGTAAGTTTGCAGGTTTTTTGGATGAAGTTTGAGTCTGCGGAGGCAGATATGAGGAGGGAGAGGAGGAAGATGAGAATGGTGGAAGCCATTGGAGAGAGAGTGAAGAACACAAGTTGTTTTGGTGATTGATATACATATAAATGTGTTGGTTCAGTTGTTGAAGAAGAGAGAGAGAAGTTGAGTAAATGTGAACGAGTTTCCTCTGATTAGGTGAAGCTAAGAAAAAGCGTAGGTTTATATTTTACTTTAAGATATAGTGGTTTTTATGGTCTTAATTAAACTTTGATTTTTCTAAAAACAATATTATTGGTTTCGAAGATTGGTAGGAAATTTGATCATTATAAATCTTTTTTATAAAAGGGTTATCACCCTAGTATCATAAAAATATGAAAAAAATTAATATGTTAATGTAATATATATCAAAATAAGCAAATTTTTTTCTTTATAATAGTCTTAACGTGTACATGTGTACTCTTAAAGTACAAATTAAGACAATCGTTTATAAATTCAGTGCTATATATATAAAGTTATTCTTACTCATTTACTAATTTTTTTTTTTTTTTTCTTTCAATGTAATGCAAAAATCTTCAATATATATTTATTGTTCTGTGATCCCGAGTTTGTGAGCCTGGCTAAACCTTACAACTCTTTATAAAATTCATTGCTATATACTGTATATACATAAAGTTATTAATTCTCATTTGTTCACAATATTTTCTTTTTTATAACGTAGAAATCCCTTATACATATATATAATGCAAAAATCCCCTATATTGTTTTGTGAACACGAGTTTGTGAGCGTGTTCACCGAACCTTACAAGTTACAATCTTTGGAGAACAAAGAATAATAGCTTCTAGCCATGTAGGTACACATGAGGAGACATGAACCTCGAATCCGAAACCTTGTGACAGTTAAACATATATAGACTTGTTTAACCTTTCATGAGTAACATTAATTATATTTACTAATGTTGGTAAACAAAAAACCTGTTTTTAAAACAATATGGACGCCCGCATTTTATGATTTTCGCATAACCATATTATAACATATAACTTGATATAAATCTTATATTATTAATTGATTGATCTAATAATATTATGAATACTATGATAAATTACATAAATTATGTTCGTATATATCGTATGGTTGGTTGAATGGAAGGAGTTGTTTGGCAAGTAGTATATAGGGTGTTGATAAAGGCCTTGTTTTGGCAGTTTGGAAGCTGCCATAGCTAATGTTCACGGGTTACACTTACACATAACAACACAAAAGCTCCTCACTTCAATGTTTATTTTGATCTCTGAATTGTCTTGTTTTCATTCACGAAATCACCAAATCCGGACAATTTTGCATCAAACACATGATCTGGACCACCAATTATTGCACCCTGTCAGGCTCTTGAGATCTCTACCACAAATATTTTCTTATGGGGCACAATAACTTTATTTGTTCGATCGATGTAATTGTTATAAATAGAAGATTGATAAAAGTGATCATGTGTTTTTCTTTTGTCATTCAATCTAGTTGAAATTTGATGTACCAATCAGATAATGTTATCAATCGATTCTTAGATTTGGACTATATTACTAGGTTTAAAACTAGAACTTACTAGACCAACGAAAATTTTCAGGTACGAATCTATAATACGGACTTGAAGTACAAATGAAGCAAAAGTAAACCTATGGCCAATCTTGATATTTAAAATATAAAGGTTTACCATGAACTACTTGTATATCTTTAAGATTCGAATTAACTTCTTTACCCGACTAGTATTAAAAATACCTATGATTATTAAAAGTTACTATATACCTGAATTATTGAAAACCCTTACATTGTTCTTAATAAAAAATAAAAAATAAATAAATAAATAAATAAATAAAACTTTATAGAAGTATCAAAAAGGCAAGAGAAATAATTGATATTTTTTTGAAAATCACGGTTAAATTTATCATTAATGGATCTCACAAGAAGAAAATAAAATACATAGACGTTTTCACTTGAGAATAACTAATCTAGCTAATAAGAAAATATTTTATTCCCCCAATCAATCTTATATTTTATGCTTCTTAATTTACTTCTAAATCCTGCACCCATATTGATAAATTTGACTCCAATATTTATGAAATCAATTTATTAATTTAATGCAAGCTGTCCATGTTTAATTAATTATCTCAAACTAATAATGGGGAAACTTTACAGATCAATGGCTGTGTAAAATGTGACTTGTCGTTGAAAAATCTTGATGTTGATGCTCTCAAACCCAGCTTCTGAATAATTTAATAACCAAAAGCCTAACCAGAGTTAAACCGACACGAAAAAAATAAGGGCTTCCTTTGGTTGCATTTTGGGAATACTATTTTTAGTATTTTCAAAAAAGTTAAATAGTAAAATACCCAAAAACTCACAATATTATTCAATTTTTTTTAAACTCCCTAAATTTGTTAATTTAATTAAATATCCCTAAATATTTTTTAAAAAATTGCAAAAACACCCCAACAATCCACATTTACCAGATTCCGGCCACCATTGTCGGAAAATGGCCGGAATCTAGTAAGATGGTGCACTACCGGCTGAATCTGACTGGTAGTGCAGCGATCTAGCATTTTCCAGCCAGATCCACGGTGGATCTAGCCTGAAAAGACAAGATCTAAGGCCAAAGATCTGGCCGTTGACGGCCAGATCTTTGGCCGTAACCAATCGGTAACGACGACTAACAAACTGTCGTCGTTGACCATCAACGACGACCGTTTGTTGGCTGTCGTTGAATAGAAAATATGGCCAGATCTAGCCCGATCTAGCCTTTGCCGACCAATTCCACAATGGATCTGATCGAAAAAGGTCATATCGACGCACAACTGGCAAGATCCAGCCGGTAATGCTTCGATACGGCGACTCCGGCCACCCTCCGGCGGTGGTGGCCGGCTGTCCGTATTTGAGGGTGGGTTGAGGGTGTTTTTGTTAACTTTTAATGTTTTATTATAGGGGGTATTTTGTAAAAAAAAAATAGGGGGTATTTTATAATTTATAAATCCTACATCGTAATACCCGCCCAATTCAACTTTTTTTTTAACTTTTTTTAAAAAACTTTTCCCAAAAACACAAAATTGAGAACCAAACGGAGCCAAGAATGTTTGTCTTCTTAAAAATCACTTCAGTCCAAATGTTTTGCTTGAACTTTTCAAACTGCATTACGCGGCTTCACAAATCACATATAACCCCAAAAAAAAAAAGTTTCAAAATCACCCCTAAAGTATCATAACTAACAGCTTAAACATTGTCGTGAGTATTCTAGTAGGGTTTTACTGTTTAATGATTGTATTTTACCAATTAAGTATAAAATGTATCAGACTTAAAACACTAATGAAAAGGTGACTATAAAAGGTAAATTATTATTTCAAATACTTGAGGGGGAGTTTGTTATTTCGTGATACTGTAGGGGGAAAATAAACTTAAAAAAATGCTTTGATATTTACTTTATGAAAGAATAATACTATATATACATCATTTTCATACAACATTATGTGGCAATATATGATGGACTAATTTAAAGTTTAAATTAAACTTTCACCCAATCATATATTGTCACATAATGTTATATGAAAATGATGTATGTGTAGTATTATTCTTATGGAAATATTGACTAGTAAGTATCAGCAATGTTATTGCTGGTCCTGGAATTTAAATCCAATGGTTCGTAATAATATATATTTTTCTTTTTTTATAAATAAAAAAGAATCGAATTCCCATAGTTCGATATGGTTATAAGAGAATTTAATAAGGAAGCTGGGTCTATTGTTAATTGGGCCAAATTAGGTAAAGTTAGGGGGTTTCTCAAATAAAACCCAAATAAGAAGCCCATTAAATAGGAGAAGGGGGTTTTGCAATCTGACAAAAATGATCCCACTAAAAAGAAACAGAGCACAGAAGATATATCCTTAGAAATAATGGGAGGATTTAGCGAAACGACATTTGCCCACCCGCCAAGTTTCAAAACAACACTTTTCTACCCATTGTTAAATTCAAATGTTAATTTTAACAGTAAAAAGGGTATTTTTGCCAGTGACACATCTGTTAATTAATAAATCTACAAATATAATAAATAAATTAATATCATATGAATATTATGAATCAAAAATTAAACTTAAATCTTCCATACAATAAAATTTTACATAATTCTTCCATATACAGAAATCTTCCATATAAAAAGATTATACATAATTCTTCTGTAAGACCAAATTTGCTTTTCATAATTCTTCAATACAACTAAGAAATTACTTCACATAAGCCTTTCATACAATCCATATTTTGCTTAACAGAACTGCTCTAAAAAAACAGAATTTAGTTTGGGTGAGGAATTTCGTCTAATAGATGGTGGGTGAATTGGCTGTGGGAAGGTTGTAAATGATAGGGAATCGTCGGCGACTAGGTAGTTACACACAACAACAATCAAATAAAGTAGAGGGAGAGAATTGAAACAGAGAAGGAAAAAGAGCAAAGGATTCTGCCTTCACAAATTTTCAACCCAAAATTTGGTTCACATACATCTTCCAAACAACCCAGAATTTGGTTTACAGAAATATTAACTTCTAATTCCATCAAAAATTCCTCCACCTCAACTCCATGAACATAAATTCATAATAAACAAAACAAAAGAAGAAGATACTAAATCAAACCCATAAAATCCATGAAAATAAATACAAAAATAAATCCTTTTGACATTGGCTGTGTGACATAAATTATAAAGCAAGGCTGCCAACACTGGTGGCTGGGTTGGTGAGTAATTGTGGTGGGCTTGTTAGAGGAGAGAGGGAGGTTGCCACCCGAGGCCCTTTGATTTGACAAAGAAAAATTTTTTGGGCAAGAGGGAGTGGCGCTAAAACAAATATGACACGGTTGGTGACACTGTTGCTGGCTTGCCATGAACAAGAGGGAGCGATGGAGTCGGTTAGGCGGTGGGTGAGAGAGATGCTCTTGCATAAAGATGATAGTGAATTGGGTTTTTAAAAGAAAAAAGATTTACAATATTTTTTAATTATAGCAAATTTTATAAAATTATAAACTCAAATAATAAGGGTATTATAGTATTTTTATAATTTTATTCTTGTCAAATAACATATTTCATTAATAAATCTTAACGATGGGTGAGAAAGTATCATTTTGAAACTTAATGGGTGGGAAAATGTCGTTTTGCCAAACCTTGGGTGGAATTCTCCTAGAAATAATGTAACAAACTTTTTTCTTTCTTCACTTCCCCTTCTCCTTTCTTTTCTTCCTTTTTCTCTCTTTCCTTTCCTTTTCTTCTCTTCTTATCTTTCCTCTCTCTGGCAATGGCTGCTGCTGGTCAGATCTAGCTGGCACTTGAGGCCCTTGCATTGATCAAAGACGCAACGTAAGAGCCACATGTCGGCTTGACCTGTCCGACCAAGTAGCTTCATTTGCCGGCCAAATTGAGAAGCCGAGTTGGCTAAGAGAAGACTTGATTGTTTGATTGCTTTTTTGATATGATTTTTCTTGATTGATGATTGTTGTATGTTGCAGTGATTGTGTTGAGAAAGAATTGAAGTTTGGTGGTGTGTTTGGGCAAAATATTATTGCAATGTATGTTTGTGCGATCCGAATTTATGTTATACTATCAACTTTGAATCTTAGTTAGACAATCTCTTGTTATTTAAAATATTATGTAATTTTAATTTGGGCAGTACATGGTATATTTATATTTTGTAATTTTTGTGAACAATACAAGGTATGTTTGTACTTTTTGTAAACCGTGTAGGGTCTACTTGTAATTTTCTGTGAACAAAAGGGGTGTATTTTTATTTTTGTGAACAGTGTCAGGTGCGATTCCAAGGATTTAGGAACCACATAATACTGGTTTTGGTTCCGGTTCCTAAATTCCAGGAATTAGTATTGTGCGGGTTCAGTTTTGGTTCTCAAGATTTGGGCCAAGTACCCATACCCATTCACCCTTATCTTAAAAGGAGGTCTTAGATATTTTTATAACTACCAAAATCATCCAAAAATAGAATAAGACACAATAGAGTCTTTCAGAATTTAGATCATTTCAATGTCAACCTTAGAAATAAAATAGAATATTACCACCAAACAGTTGATAAAGTTACTCAATCCTAGGGATGGGCATGGGCCGGGGATCCCATTCCTCAACTCCGTCCCTAACCCCTAGGGGATTCCCCAGGCCCGACCAGTCCTCGGGGTCGAGGATGAAGGGGGATCTAGGCCTGGCCTGCAGGGATTGGGTTGACCCCCAATCTCGTCGGCGTCAATTGGGTCTTTGTGGGGTCGACGGTTGTGATGGGCTTTAGGATTCTTGACTGTAGGGTAGGTTAGGGCTTTGATGAGCTTTAGGATTATTGACCATGGGCTGGGTTAGGATTTTAATAGGCTTTAAAGCTTTAGGCTTTCTATTTTTTAAAACTACATTGACATTTGTATCCAATTTTTAGAAATACAAGGGTTTTTATTTGAATATTTAGCTTTTATTTGAATACAAAAACATCTATTATTACCCATTTATATATGATTTCACTCAATATTCCCACAATTATAATCACATTTGATCAATTAATAGTGTGAAAATAATAATTATTAAAGTGGTAATTTCTTGACAAATGTGATTTTTTTAGAAAAGAAAATGAATAGGAAACTTCAAGCGTAATTACTGGGAAAATTAATTACGAATATTATTTAAATGAAATGTCACAAATTAATTATAATATGTAGTAAGACTTGTTAGATATAATCTATGATCAATTATAATATGTAATAAAACTGGTTAGATATAACATTAGTAACTTGTTAGATATGTAGTAAAATTAGATATTAGAATTTAGAAAATATTATAGTCTACAATTAGATATTAGACTTATGTGATACAATTTATTATGTCTTTCCATCTTTATAATACACATAAAGTTTCTCTTCCTTCTTCTATTTAATTGGTTATTTTAATTTACAACGATTTTAATTTATTATTGTATAAAGATCATCTTATTTCTTCCAATTAATTTGTTTAGTTTGATTAATTTTCAACCATTTAAATTAATATAAAATTAGCAAGATTTATTGAATATTGATAAGATTGCATAGAAAATATCTTATATTAATTTTTTTTATGAAATGATATTATGTTATTTTAATGCAATATGATAATAATAATAATAAAATTATTTCATCATCAATAGTATAGAAATAACACATTTCAAATCTAATACCAAAAAGCATGAATTCATCGTCATTACAATTTGCAAGGAAAGCACATCATTAAAAATAAGGTGAATTTTTTTTTTTTTTTAAATAGAGTGTGATAATAATTTAATGAAACCAAGTAAAGTTCCTCTTCCTTCTTCTAATTAATTAATTTAGTTTACTTCATTAATTAATTTTTAACTATTCAAATTAATATAAGATTAACAAGATTCATTGAATATTGATATATTAAATTTTTTAAATGATATGATATTATGTTTTGTTCATGCAATATATATATATATATATATATATAGGGTGGGGTGAAGCCAAACTCTGTCCCTAGGGTCGAGGAATTATTTTAGCCCTGGCCCAGTCCCGATCCCCGACTCTTTCGGAGATTCCCCGGCTTGTTTGAAGCGAGACATGCATCCGCCTAAACGGGTCAAATGCCTATCTCTGTACTTATATAAGAATTACAAGGATTTAATAATTTAAAGTTTACGTAGGAAAAAAAGAAAAAATTTAAAAAATAAATTGTTTAAAANGTAACCAGCGTTGAGGAACATATGTCCATACCAAGAAAAGAACTGTTTACAAAGAATGATCAAAGTGTGTCAGAAATGTAAGGAGATCCAAATAAAACCTCATAAGAATTTCTTCATAAAACCTCATCAGAAATAACTAGTAAAGGATCTTCTTCACATTTCAATATATCATAAGCAGTCAAATTCAGATCTTTTCAAGAGTTTTACTGTTCTTGATTTCCTTAAAATGTTTTCATGTAGCACAGTCTAACATAACTAAAGATTCATAAGTAAACACAACAATCAATAGAAAGAACTACAAAGACCTGCAGTGACGACTGTGGTAATGGATCCAACAAAGCCATAAACTTCAGAAGTCTTAGGACCAAACCCAGAATAAGCCTTGTCATCATGAGCTAAAAATGACATGGTTGCTCTCCTTCTCTTTGAAAAACTTAATATTCTTCCTGGACTATTAACCGAATGTTGATCCTCCATCACCTTCCTCTTAAAACTTCAACTTCTATTCCTGGAACCAAAAACAGATCTTTATAAATTGATAACAATCTAATCCTCAGAAAAAATAAAAATAAAAACTTATTATAAGAGAATACCAGAGAAAATGTATAAAAACTGTTCACATTTTTGCCTTTTCAAGTGTAATATATAAAATTCATTTTTTTTCTTAATTCAGTAAAGATGATTTTACATTTTAAGAGATTAAAAAACAGAAAATTCAAAGACAAAAGCATAAACAAACGTAGCCTAATTATCCAAAATTTTAGAAGAATCTCTTGCATTGATATTATACTAGTTACAAATCACTAAATCTTTAGCTAATAATTAAGTGCTGAATAACAACATTTAAGCTCTAATATTATTTTTATTATAATTTTCAATTACAATTGAATTTCAGAAATGCTCTGAAGTCTAAAATCTCATGCATGGAAATAGCAAAAGAACATAGCAAACCAAATTAATTAACACCAAATCTCAAACAACTGAAACAAAAATTAAACCTAACCCAGAAAAAAATGTGGATAATTCAACACAGGGCCTCTTGCTTTGATACTTTACAATAAAGTTACCTGTAGNTATCGCTATCAAAGGTTTTATCGCCATCAAGCCGCGACTTTGATAAAACCCTGAATAAGAAAATGAAGAGGGTTCAACTGATAGTAATGGCAAGGGATGATTCTTAAACCTGATATTGAGCCATACAACATCTAAGCAGAGAATTTATGGAAAATGGTTGTGGTTGCAGCGATGGGCATGTCATTTTTTATGCTCAACTTTAACCAGTAGAAGAAATATACTTCTGCAGAATGTTGTATGCTGGAGGAATGACAATTTATCGATCGTTGCCTGCCCAGCCCTTTTTCAGCTACTCATTTCTCTTGTATCTCTTATATTTTTACTGAAACTTTATCCATCGTTGCAGCTTCCTTGACTTCACTAGAAGGTGGAGATTCACCGTGCAAGTGCATTGACATTGACCCTCGCCGTGTACACGGAGTTAGTTTGCAAGAGTTGATCAAATTCTTACCTTCTTATTGTAATATTATGCATTAGAATGAGAAAAGGGTTTAGTCCGGAATCCTATTTCATGAATGATGGTTGTATAAAATGACTCGAGAAATACTTCCAGCTTTCCATCAAAATTTGGTGATTTAGCTGTTTCACTTTGTCTTTAGTTTTATTAATGCTTTCAAGTATTTGATCATGATTTACACAAAAAGTACTAGTTTTATTAATGCTTTCAAGTATTTGTAATTTGATCATGTACACAAAGTATTGAAGCTATGAGCTTGTGAAGTTAATTCTTTTTCTATATTTACTTTCAAAACGTTCTCAAAATCGATTAAATAACCAACCAGATCATATTCATAAATTCACAGAACAAATAGGCATTTACAATGGTCATTTTCCATTATTAAACATGAGAACATTAGTTTTGTGGATGCCAATATCAGAGATGGGTTCAATTGGCTGCTCACCTCCCTCCGCTAAAGAAACAGGATTTGAAGGTTCTCTGCTGAATTCATCTGTAGATTAATAGAGCATAAGATTACATAAAATGTACTATTTCCGTCATGAACGATGGCTAAAATAGTTTGAAACAATGTTTATATCTATCTTCATGACTTTGAAATCTGTACAAGCAAGTAGATGCAGTGATAAAATAAATTGCTACTTGCTAGAGATGCGGGGTCAGAGGTCACAACTTACCAAACATTGTATTTAAGGAAGTTGATGTAGTCGACATGAAATTGAGGCCGATGTAAAAAGATAATGATAAGACTATAGTCACCATAGTGTAAGCTGGCACTGCCAACGCCCAATACCTGAAAAACAAAATCACCGATATAGTCAATATTACCATATCAATAACACTTACAAGTTAAGTCCATGAAGATTTCACAAGAAGAAAATGAGTTACTTCCACAAGTTTCGGTTCATGTACTGGACAGGTTTAAAGGTTTATTCATTTGGGAGTTTGCAAATTTAATCTATGTCATGATTTGATTCAATATTCAAGTGACCTGCTAGGGTAGTAAAAAATCCCAAGTGCATGTAACCAGCGTTGAGGAACATATGTCCATACCAAGAAAAGAACTGTTTACAAAGAATGATCAAAGTGTGTCAGAAATGTAAGGAGCTCCAAATAAAACCTCATAAGAATTTCTTCATAAAACCTCATCAGAAATAACTAGTAAAGGATCTTCTTCACATTTCAATATATCATAAGCAGTCAAATTCAGATCTTTTTGATTTCCTTAAAATGTTTCAGTAGCAAAGTCTACATAACTAAATGATTCATAAGTAAACACAACAATCCAAATAAAGAAATACAAAGACCGCCTCAGTGAACGATGTGTAATTGGACCAACAACAGCCATAACTTCAGACGCTTAGGGACAAACCAGAATAAGCTTGTACTACGTGAGTAAAACGTGACATGTTGTTCTCTACTTCTCTTTGAAAACTTAATATTCTTCTGGACTAAACCCATGTTGATCCTCCTCACCTTCCTCCTAAACTTCAACTTCTATTCGAACAAAAGCAAGTCTTGGAACATGATTAACAATCTAATCCTCAGAAAAAATAAAATACAAAACTTCAGTATTAAGAGTAATACCCACGAAAGGAATAGTAAAAACGTGTCACTTTTTGCCTTTTCAAGTGTTTATATATAAAGATTCACTTTTTTTTCTTAATTCAGTAAAATGATTTTACCTTGTAAGAGATTAAAAACAACAGAAAATTCAAATGAGCAAAAGCAAAACAAAGTAGCCTACTTATCCAAACTATTTGAGAAGAATCTCTTGCATGATATTATACTAATTCCACTAAATCTTTAGCTAAGTATTAAGTGTGATATACAACTTAAGCTCTAATATTATTTGTATTAAATTTCAATTACATGCGATTTCCCCTTCGGAAATGCTCGGAAGTCTAAAAATCCATGGGAAATAGCAAAAGACACATCGCAAACCAATTACTAACACCACAATCTCAAACAACGAAACAAAAAATTAAACCTTAAAAAAAAACCCCCAGAAAAAATTGATAATTCAACCACAGGGCCCTTGCTGATACTTTACAATAAGTTACCCGTAGTTGAGCTTAGAATAGATAAAAATTGTTAATGCAGATACCAAAAAACAATGAAGACCACAAGAGAGACCGCCAATGGAGGATCAACAAATATTGCTTAGTAAAAAATGGGTTTATTTCTCAGCAAACCAACTGGCAAGATGAAAAAATAGCAAACAATAACGAACAAGATTTAAAGAACAGGAAAAGGCTTCCTTTACGCGCGTTTTTAATGAAGAACGATGAGGGTCTAAAATTAAAGAGTGGAAGCGCAGAGTTGTGCGGGCCCGGATTCAAAATTCAAGATAATTATAATGCGATAAGTATTGATCGAAAATGGGAAAATTTAGGGCAAACGTTTTGGTACGAAAGGTTTCTTAGGGCAAAACTTCGTGGTGGAATGGAAAGATGTCGTTTCGGCCCATCTAAATAATCTTCAAAGGAGGTCACAGATAGATTTATAACTATAAGCGGTGTTGTAGATTTTCATTCGATAGTCATACCAAATTAAGTAAAATACATAAGTCCCCTCAGTAACTTCGACAACCGGATAAAATATAATCTTAACACCAAACAATTTTAATACCCACCAGTAAGAAGAAACTGGGAAAGAGTGAAGTGAAGGGGCTTCGCGCTGAAGCATTAGATCATATTGTCAAGTGGTAAGATATGCAATTCTTTATTTCATCTTCAACTTGAAAAAAAAATAATTAAATAACTATAATATGCAAATGACTTGAGTTTGAGTTGAGCTAAATATTTTCAGTTCCCTTTCGTTAACTTAATTGGTACTGCTATCTGTATACTGTGGCTTGTTTTTTCTGTAAATTTTCAGGACATCTCTTGATCAAAGAGTTATTTATTTTTCTTCCTCTGAATTTAACTGGAAGGAAAATTTTATATTGGTGTCGTGTTTTTTCAAATTATTTTCTGACTAAGAATGTAAGATGACTTTTAATGGGTTGAGAGTGATACTACTATTTAGCAATGTGAGAAGTTGATAAACGTACGGTTTATGAGCATGCAATGGTGTACTGAATGATAGATGTGTACAAATTTATTTGATCTTGTACAATTTGGTGAATTTTGCACAGTTAAAGCGATTATTCAGGTTACAGTTGTGATGATTGGTGTCGCTGGTGATATCTATTCTGTTATAGATATGTTTGAGTGGTGTGGGAATAGTTGGTGGAGTTTAAATATGGTTGATATTCCCCCAGGTTTCTAGAAATAAAGGATGCTCATTGAATGCTCTTAATTGATCTACTCCCAGATATTCAATATATTTGTCGTTCTGTTTCGAATTAACAGAGGTAAATGGGATTCTCATTGGAATAGTCAAATAAGTTGTATTTGGTACACCTGGTCTTGTTTGATAAAAGTTCGGTGTCCTCTTGAAGAGGAAATGAAGCCCTGTGGCAAGCCGTTGTACTGATTTTTTCATCCTCTCTTTAGAGGCACTCTGTGATCCGAGGTAGAGTTTTTTTTCCCTTTAAACTGTCCGTTTTGTCCTTACGTTGAAATTATGTTACAAAACAAGCAGAAATCCTTTGTTTCTGTTGTTTTTTTGATTTATGTTTTTGGGTTGTGAATGAAAAACATGGGTCGTACTATGTTAAAATTTCCAACTAAGTTGTGGGGCCCCCATTTATGTATATAGAGGAAAAAGCAAAGAGACAAGGGAATCATACAATCTTTAGGATTGGAATGGTAAATTAGACCTACAAAGAAGCTTCATGTAACCTCTTGCTTAAGTTTTGGTCATAGAAGGGAAATTGCTTATTCTGTGCTATATATGGTGAAATCACCCTTTTTTCTTTAATGACCGAGATGTACTTCGGTGTTATTTTTCTTAGCTTGAGCATGACGCTTTTAACTTTGTAGACTCAACTTACTTTTCCTGAAAACTAATCGGTGCCAAGCAAAAAGCTTGGTAGCATGACGTTCTTCTAGTACTATAACATCATATAAACGCAAACGTCCAATCCATATTACGTGTTCTTGTACCTTTAGTATAACACATGTGTGATATAAAAAGCAGCTTTTATTTGGAAATGGATCGTTCAAAGAATAGTACGTGTCGTCTAACCTGGTAGAGATCGACCAACCCTGTTAGCAGCTGAAAAAGAAGAAGCCAAATCTGTGTTATCCTTGTTCTTGAAGAAACAAGGTCTGAGCAAGGTAGTTGCTGCAAAAACCATCACTAAATCAGATCTTCTCATCGATCACCTTGTCTCAAGGCTTCATTCTGTTCATAAATCTCGGTATCTTGTAGGTTCGATTGCAATATGTACTGGTTATTTTTGGCTACTGTTTTCTAAGTGCTTCTGTTTCAAATTCTTATTTTTCCCACTAATCAAAATTTGCTTGCCATACAGGAAGAGAGCTCACAACTCTTGAGATCAGGGACACTCTTATTCCTTATATTGAATCTCTTCTTGTAGAGCATGGAAACAATGTCGCAAATTTAGTGGAGAACTTTCCTAATACACCTGTCAAAGACAAGCCAGCTGCGTCAGTCTCTCAACACCATTCCACCCCTGACTCTGACAAGCCAAAAGGGGCCTTTAATGCACCTCTCAAAGAAAAGGCAGCTGTGTCAGTTTCTCAATCCTTTTCTGCTCCCCTTGAGTCCAACAATCCAAAGGTGTTCTCTAATGGACCTAGTGAAGAAAAGCCAGCCACATCAGTTTCTCAATCTGGTTATGCTCTTGACTCTAAGAAGCCAAAAGCTGTCTCTCGAATGATTGAGGTTGGCACCGTTGGTGATTTATGCCCTCAATTCCTCTACCTCTTAGAGCTTGGCATGGATTTTGAGCAGATTAAGGCAATTACATTCAGATATCCGAATTTTGCCTACTGCAGCCTGGAGGGGAAAATCAAACCACTAATTGAGTTTCTTCTTGATCTTGGGGTATCTAAATCAGACATTCCTAAAAAAATTCTTGTCCAAGTGCCTAATTTATGCAGACTTAGTATATCTGGTAAAATAATACCCATGATGTTATACTTAGAAGATATGGGTGTGGACAAGGACCAATGGGCGAAAGTTATATACCGCTTCCCAGGACTCCTCACTTATAGCAGGCAGAAGGTTCAGGCAATCGTTGATTTCCTCTACGAGTTGGGCCTCTCATCCGAGAGTATAGGTAAAATCTTAACTCGATGGCCAACTATCGTTAGTTGCAGCGTGGAGGAGAATCTACGACCAACAGTTGAGTACTTTCGTTCATTAGGGGTTGACATCTCCATGCTTCTTAAAAAATCACCAGGGACTCTTGGTCATAGTATTGAAGGCAATCTGAAGCCTGTGACCGAGTTCTTCTTGGCAAAGGGGTATAGCATGGAAGAAGTTCGGATCATAATTTTGAGATATGCGCCTCTATATACTCTTAGCTTGACAGAGAACTTGATACCAAAATGGGAGTTCTTTTTGACCATGGGATACGAAAAATCTGAGCTGGTTAAGTTCCCTACATATTTTGGTTACAGTTTGGAGCAGAGAATAAGGCCAAGATATGTGCTTGTAAAGGAGTCAGGAGTCAAAATGCCGTTGTCCAAGATGCTATGTGTATCAGACTGTGATTTTGAGAAAGTTTTGAAGATGAAAATACTGAAAATGGTTACCACCACGACTCCTCGGCATGAGTAAAACTCACATAAGACAGGCTCACCATATCCTCTCTTAAACTCGACGGTCTTACCACATCACCAAACTGACATCTGAGAAACTATCAAGTTAAGATATTTGATGCAGAACTTTCTAGTGGTACAATTGTTAATGGACAATTTATCTAATGCCAAAAAAGTCTTAGATTGTATAAAATTGTAAGGGTTTGCGAAAGAACCCTTGATCCCTTTTTTCTTTGAAATGTAAGGGTTTTATACCTAAGCAAAATGGTATAATTTTGTCATTAACTTTTCTATATATAATTTGAAAAACCCTATTTCGCATTCCAAATGTAAGAGGGCTTTCGAGATAAAATCATACTTAGATAGGAATTGGAATGATTTAATAACTTAATTTTTATTTAGAAAAAAAAAAATTATATTGGAGGACTTATACTGTTATACATATTGTTTATTGTTTAGTATAAGTATGTAAAGCAATTTTCCTTTCTCTACAGAATGGAAAGGAGGTATATTTACCAAAAAAATACAGAATAATCGCATTTTATTAAAAAAAAATGAATGAAAAAAAAAAAACCTCATTTCATTTTTTTTGTTTTTTGTAAATCTAATCAACGCAACACATTTTGATGATATATATCTCTAAAAACAAAATTGATTTCATCGTGATGTATAATCGAGACATATAATAAATACTTCTACTTACCCCCTTGTGTTAAAAAGTGTATTTTGGT